CCACTTGTTGGTCGATCAGCGGCCCCCTTTAAATTCGATCGCCAGTCACCCGCCTCTCTCTTCTGCCTCTTCTTCTTCTTCTTCTTCATCGACAGGATAGGCGCCCTTTTAGGGGAGGACACTGCGTTCCCGTGCACGCCTCGCCGGCCACGCCGGGCGTTACAGATTTTCGTTTACATTTAGAAGCCTGAAACGCGCCAATAAATTCCACGGCGCCCTGCGTCCACCCTTTAGCGCCGTTCACCGAACCAAACGATCTTCCTTCTCGTTCAAAGATATCGGGACCGCCCGTGTTCGCCGCGAACGGAATGCTTCATCGCCGTCCAAACGATCGATGGTTAATTGTTCTTCTCTGCACCCGTTCTTCTGCATCAGCCTGACCGACTAGTTTCTCCTGACTTCCACTGTACATTAAATTACTTCAGAACCTTTCCTTTATGGAACACAATTATTTTGGACCCGAGGAATCTGGGTATCTGATCATCTGAATATTATAAGATAATGTAGGAATACTTTAATGTTGAGATATAGGGATGTGTGTTTATAATGCAATAGGAATAAATTATTTAAAATATTTTTATCGAGTGCTCTTGGTAATCACATGATTTGAATTTCAGAATTCGAAGATCTAAAATTTCAAACGATGCGACCTTGAGTGACGGTCGACCCTGGAAGCCATCGATCGACAAGTGGTGAGTCAAACTAAATGCCATAAAGTAGTTCAGAAACATAAAGCGTGATGATATCGTGGATGTATAGAAGGTGTTGTGCCATTTAGAGGAAATTGTAAGTGCCCTCCACTCGTATTTTCCGCTGTGATATAAAGCAATTTCCACGAAGGTCTACGCGTGAACCCACCCCTTATAGGCATCCAAGGTCCATTACTTATGAATTTGAAAATTGGCTAAACTATACTCCCTTAACTCATAGACGATAAATGAAAGACGATTACATTTCTGAGAAATTCGCATCGAATACACAGAACAGAAAATGTGTAAAATTCATCCCCTACATATACTCGTAACGTGTACAATATATTTCGTAAAAATAATAAAAAAAATTGTTAAAAAGTTTACAAGGCACCTTGCTACTGACTGACTGTTTTATAAGGAGCATCAAGGAACCCATTCTTCATCGTTCAAAGGTTAAGCAGCGTACTTTATCCGTCGTTAAATTATCGTCAAGTATGCTCAGTTTCTGACGATAATTGAAAATTACAGTACACGCGATTGCGTAGGTTGGATAGCGGTTAAGTTAGTCGGCTGGGCGGTCAAAGTCGTGGCTGAAAGCGATTTCCTTTCTCAATTACGCTCGACTAGAGGGGTACAAATAACCCCCTACAGCTAATCTCGAGTAATCGGCAAGTTTCGCGTCGACGAGACGGTCTCCTAGCGGAATTCCTAGTTTTTTTAGCCCCTGTTTTATTAGCGAGTAAAATCGCACGCGAACATTCTTCGATGTTGTACAGCGTGGCCATTAAGCGGAAAAGTCGAGGCTAAGATTACAGCACAGCCCTAATCTCTTCCACGTCCGCGTTCTGCAAGCCGATACAGATATCGTGACCCACTTATAAATGTTCAGATGTCGTGTTTCTCAACCTTTAAACCTATCGTGTAATCGTTACAACGTTCACATGCGACTGGCCGCCGCCTGATAATACGTATCGGGTAACCGAGCGAGCCACCTGATATTCGCCGGTGCAAAAATATCACGAGAACGACGCGCTGATATCAATAACGACACGAACGGAATATTTTCCCCCCCTTTCTGCTCGGGGTGAAATGGCGACGAAACAAATGGCGGTCGAAGTGCCCGCAGATTTTTAACAACTCTTTCGCACGGCCATTCACGAGACCTTTCGAGACCTCGGACAAAAGTGGTTGTTGCGCCTGCCACTGCTATAAAAATTGATCCTTAAATTACGACCGAGTGCGTGAGACCCTTTCTGTACAAAGTCGGCTCCTTTTCTAGATAAGATTAGAAAAGAGTGACTGAAATTAATCCCTTTGAAACAGGGCGTGACTCACGTTGCGATATTATTACAAATGCATGTATACGAAATTTATATGTCCATAGGTATATGAGGGTGAGTTAAAGCAGTGTCCTAAAATCTCAAAGTCTTACCGTGTAGAGCCTTAGCGATTCCGTTCTAGGTTAACCCACCGGTAACTACCGATTACCCGCGTTTCTATATCGCAATCGGTGTTTATCGGGTTAAAAAGTAGTTAGAATCCCTGTAAGAAAGTGATGGTAGCGGGCTCGTAAGGGCCAGCTATCTACGAGCGGCGTGTACTCGATAATGTTCGAACAAAGTGTTGTTTGGCCGATTACACGAATGCTCGAAAAGCAAGTGGGCCAAAAGTTAGGTGTCGGAGTAAAAGGGCCGGAGAGACAGGAAGCGCCAAGGTGCTTTGGTTAGAAGGTCGACGGAAGGGTGAGGGAAGTCGGCCATATTGAAGGAGGGTGGACATAGAGGGAGAAAAAGAGAAAGAAATGGAGAGAGACGGTAATAGAGGAGAAGAGAAGGAAAGGCGCCAGTCGGTCGCGTCCTCGAAGGAAAGAGACCACGAAGAGAGACCACGTTTGCTGCGAGCACGCCACTGTGTCGAGAGTGAGCACCATCTTGTTAACAGTCGAGTTCTTTTTCCATCGGCGTCGACTCCGATAGGCCTACGGGATCATGGTGGGCGTTCTTCCTCGTCTTCCTATTTTGTCCACTGGTTCATGCTCCGCCTCGAGTGGTAGCCTCGGTTCTCCTGCACGCGATCGGTTGCTGTACGCCGAGCATCGGTTCCCTTATGCCTTATACCGTCCGCTGACCGATCCTCCAGGATAGAGCCGACCAGTTTATTCCTAACGTCTTTGACCACGTCCTTGCATCGGGCCAATCGCTGCTACCACCTGTTCCTTCGGATTAACTTTGTACGACAAAAGCAAACTTGAGGGCTGCAGGAAAACACGAAAATGCTGCTCCATCTCCAAAATAGGTGCTGGTAGCACTCACAAAGAAATGCAACTGCGATTGAATTATAAATTGTCAAGCTTACATATTGTTAGCTGGAACAGTTACATTGGTTAGATCAAGAAACAAAGGCTCTGTTCCTAAAGTCTAGGAGCTGGGTTTGATGCCTAGAGTAAAAAGTCTTCTTCCATCCGGTACGTAGATTCATTCTCACTGAAAGAACGCTTGAATCTCTGATTGCACACGAATAGTCATAATTAATATATAATCATAAGATTATGATCAGAAAGAAAAATGGTGGACATTCGATGCCATAATAAGATAAGAAGTAATGAATAACGCATAAACATAAGATTGCCAAAGTTGACACAGCAAATGGCATATTTTACAAGATACGCATCTACAAATGCACGAAAATTGGCAGTATATCCAAATGGAAATTTCAGAGCGGCTTTTGATCGGATTCCACGACGGATTATCCCGATCCACATAATTTGGTTGCGCCGTAAGTGGTGACCGAATTTCTGGGCGTCTTAATCGTCCGATCGCGACACATTAAAGTATCGTATATCAAGCTCGTCGTTTTCGAAGAGACGGGGTCCCAAAGTCGGGACCCTAATTGCAGATCGAGAAGAACCGGGTCGGTCACGCGATCACCATGGACGGTTCGTTCGCTCCATCGAATGTGGATCCTTTTTCAAAGTTTATCGAGAAACGGCGCTTTCGAGGGACAGGTGCGACTAACCTTGAGACAAGGCTGTCCAACCAGCTGCTTTCTTCTCGAACGTGTCGTCGTTTGCGCGCGCGAGTGCGGCCTTTCGTGCTACGGATTGGGCGGAGGAGCTACGAAAAAAGGAACCGGAGGAATAAGGGGAAGATACACATCCATTACCATCAGCATGCAAATTAGATCGAGGATTACCGCAAATCCTTTCGTAACAATCATCCCACGGAGCGACCACTCCTGGGGAAAAGCCGGTACACGAGGCAGAGGGAGGAAAAGGAAGGAGGATGCTGTCGGGAGATAAAGGTTCGAAAGACAGAGAGGAACTTCTCCGCAAAACTCCTCGTTGGAACTTAATTATCGTCTGCCATTGCTGTCGGGGATGCTTTACGGACGGTGTACGAACGCGCGAAGGAAGATTTTAAATCGTCGAATAAATACGGTTTTGACCCTCTAAGAATATTTTTCTTCAAAAATTTTATCGATACTTCATTTATATTTCTACAAGAATCTGTTAGTTGAAGTAGTCAAAATTTGGACATTTTTGAATTCCTAAAATTTTAATCTTCCGAGGTTTCCTCGTAATTAAATTTATTAGTAACGAACAGCTACGCGTATGCAAATAATCGACCACTCTGACATCCACGTTGTTCAATGGCTAACGGAAGCGAAGACCAGGATGCCCATAGTTGGCGCAAAGTAAGTTGTGTCGAGATATTTAGCCATCGGAGTGACAAGCGATTTTCCTACGGGTGAAACGTTTATCTCGTCGCAGCTCGGTGTACAAGTTTCTTCAATTATGCAACGTCGAATAGCGTGAAACGTTGCTGAATAATCGAACGCAAGTTTACCCGGAAACGTCACAATAAACTGGTTGTTTCCTACTCCGCTCGTGTCCTAAAAGTGTCCCCTTATTACAGGCCTGAGCTGACATAATTTTCATTCGTCGTTCGAACAACGTTCCTCTGTTCCGACCGGTTCTAATCAATGGTGAATCGGCGAAATCGAGGAAGTTGCGACATTAACACGATTATTTAATCGCGTACTACTAGAAACAACGGGGCTCGTTCATCCGAGAGCGATATCGATGCTGGAACGATGATTAAATTGATCGAACCGGAAGAGTAATTCCGCGTAGAGAGATATCTCATTCATCCGGTGTTCCGAATCGACTCGTACACTTTGATGGTGCGTACGTTATGGATTATCCTGTTTTTCTTCGAGCTTTCCTCCTTTGGCTGAACGTTTCCCCTCGTTATCGCGAGGCTTTATGATTATTGTCCCCGTATCGATGTACACGGTTGTTGAACAGCACCGGCAACAGCTCAGGGAATTCGCGTATTAGCGAGAACTCCGGGCCGGTTTAACGGGGTTGTTCGATTTGCGCGGTGTAAAGGCGAGAGGAAAACCGGAATCGTGTCATCGCTCACCGAGCCGATACTTTACGAGACTGCCGGCCTCGCGCTTTCGTCGATGCAACGAATCGAATGACTCGATCGAGAAATTAAATCGAGGAACTCTTGCTGTTCCTCGTCGATGGAATGCGCGAATATCGCGGAATCGGTCGATCGTGAAATTTCTCTAACCTCTTCACTCTGAGCTTTCGTATCTCTATTACATTACTTGAACGTACAGTCGCGCCATCAGGATTCGATAGGTTTATAACGTATCGAAGACTTTCGCGTATATGAAAATACGATATGGTAAGACTTAAAAATCGATGTCCAAATGCGAGAGAGGTTTAGAAGCAGTTACCAGGTAAAATCACCGGTTGAAATCGTTTAAACAGAATCTATCGAAGGATCTAAGTGTACATATAGGTTGATCAGACAGACTAGTCCGTAAAGTGGCGCCATTAGCCAGACCACGAAACCGTGAAATCGGTAGCCGTGAATCATTATAGGGAATCAAAATTCAGCAAGAAACAGGCGTTAAGGGAAACTGGCTTGCCACGGATAAGAAACGACCGATTCTTATCATATTTATACGAGCGCGCCACCTTCTCGTCCACATTCCAGCTGGAAGGAGGCGCATTAGAAACCACGGACGATTCTTGGTCCCCCGACAAATGGCGTAATTAAAAGCGGCTCCCCGGCACGATGTTCCGCGTTAACCAGATAAGTGTAATACAAAGTGCGTGGCGACATTTCGCGCGAACGTTACACGCTGTGCCACAGTTTATGGCGCAGACGTTAACCGAACCAATTGTACATACTCGGTGTAACCCAACAAATGGAATTCGTTAACGCGCTTTTTATATGGAACACTGCTACTCGAGTTTATTAAAATCGCAACGACTGATGTTGTATTTCCTGATAAATTGAGAAGGCGTAGGTGAT